AGCAACCCTATAGCCTTCGCATTAACATTCCCCGCTTGCACCGAGCTCATGCCCTCATCCGAGAAATTGCTTTTTCATCAGCCCTCTTCCGGGCGATGGTCAAGTGCAACACCAAAAGCCCGGCGGGCATTTTTATACGTCACTCTATGAGATAATTGACTCCAGCCAGTATACATACGGTACAGTACTCGGAACGAATCCGGCTGATTTCCCCGCAGAAAATGGCCATTCGTCCACGATATCCCGCCATTCTTTTAGCATTTTGTTTTTTTTGTTTTGTACTCTGCAAATTAAATTACCGTAGTAAATCGCATTTACGAAACCATGCTGGGTCGCACGCTAGTACAGTATCATCAGAAATGACGGGTACAAACAAATTTCGCAAGATTAACAAACCCAAGAGTCAGATTTTTTAGCGCTTGAACTTCCTCTTCTACAGCTAGAAGCATTCCAGAAAAAAATCCTCTTCCCAAAATGTGATGATGTAGTGAACTTGATTTCTCACAAAAAAACAAAAACATAAGGCAATTAGCCTTTATAGGCGAAGAACCCATATTCAAGGTGTCACCTTCAATATATGTTCCTAGTTTTGAAATGATGTTTTTTTCATTTTTTTTTCAGCAGAGTCAAAGAATATAAAGAACTCAATAGGACAAACACAATCAATTCACACAATAGATTCTAATCACAAGATCAAATCATGTGAATGCAAATCACAGATTGCACACACATCAGTTAAAATAGAGAAAGGATGAGAAGATTGTCATTCAAGAGTTCAGGACAGACTGCTTCTAAATTCGAAGTAGAAAGATTTTTCATTTATTTTGTGGAATTGTCTGGTCAGGTGATCTAACCAGAAAATTCCAGAATATTCCATCAGATTTCCTGACCTCTGATTGGCCAAAATAATGAAAATTGAGGTAATCATTATATGCTTTGTCAGGTGATGGGCAAGGAACCTTTCATCAGTTTCCTCTGCTTGTTTCTCCCCAAAAGATAAAGTTCGTAAAATGGATTGTATTTGATTCTAAATAAAATTGAGTTGAAAAACTGGGTTTACAATTTCTCAGTTTTTTAGATCTGTTTTACTGCTGAAAGTAAAAGACAATGGAGATAGATTTTGTGATTGCGAAGTGAGCAATTATTCCAAATTATACCTAGACCTTCGGGCGACATCTGTGTGAAACAAAACAAAAATATGCAGTCAGAGACGTACTTGGGAATCGAAGCTGAAAGAACGGGAAACGCTTAAGCAAAACTTTTCTGCACAAAAATCGATTGAAACTGCAAAACCATCGCAGATAGTGAAACCTACTTACGAGATAATTCACTGTCTTCTCATGACGCATTCCAAAAGCGTTATCGCTGTATAATAAATACTGCATAGAACCCGTAAATAATAACGCATGGGGTTCGAGGTGAGAAACCCGGGCGTCGGGATGCCGTGAAAACAGAGCTGTCAAACCCGCCGGCCGGGTAAACTTCTCACCGATTACGTCAGAGCAGCCCACATATACGAGAGGCAACAAATTCGCCCAAGAGAGAAGGTTTCTTTTTCTTTAATGGCCCAGTCTGAAGATGGGCAGCCGATAAAACGTCCCGACCTTGCAACACAACTTTCCTCTTGCAGTCAGTCAGGTTCATTCATTCATTCATCTCCACACGTTTCATTACCGCTCCGGTTTACTATGCATGCTCATTAAACCACTTTATCCCCACGACTTATTCCCGAAAATTATTAATTTTTTCTGCATAAAAAGAAGGGGACATTTGAAGAGTTTACGACCATCAAATCGCTGAACCGCTCGCATAAAAATAAATTTTCACTTGAGATTTTATGCGAAAGGCTATAATTTTTCATTTCCCGCCTTGAATCCGGGAAAAAACAGATTTCGTGAGGCAGGGATGAATTTGAATGGATTTTCTGCAGACTTTTGCAATGAAAACCGGTAAGATTTTTGAGGAAAACTATTTTTAGCGAAAGAGAACCTAAAAAAAACATTCGCGAATAATCAAGTACGGCGAATCGCCATTGCAGTTGAGTTAAAACTTTTCATCAGATTATTTATCGTCAAAAATGACCCAATCCATATAATCTCAATGAGAACGTAATTAAACTACAAAGTTTTCAAATACAGTGTATACATAATGTGCACGGAAGATTTTCTGCAAGCAATTTTTTCAAATGACCACATTATAGCATAAATATGGATAATTAAATTCAAGAAATATTAGCCATTAAAATTTAGCATGCATTTATTTGTGCCAAAATTCAGCTCTTCAGCATGCAGATAATTTAAAATTGCACTTCCGTGCTTCAAAGTCGGTAGCATCAAAATAAAATAAAATACGGAAGCAAATTGCAAAAACGAACACTAAAGCACGGAATTTTTTGTGTTGTTTCTTATGTGCCCCGTAAATTAACCGATCGAAGATTCTCAAATTAAATAATATGGCATCTGAACTTCAAAATGTATTGACAGAATCATTTTCGGCAGACCAAGAACGAGGATAATAACATTTGATTGAAAAATTTCACACTATCTCGTAATGAAAATACTTACGTGATTCGGAGGACTTCTGAGAAATCCACGGTACACAGAGCAAAAGTATCAAAGTGGCGAGAACAATTAGAAAGCAAAGAAGAACACAGAGGCAACCTTTGGAAACCCGTTGCTAAAACTCCCGGGAATTATGCATGGATTCACAGGATCGACACGAGTGTTTGTGTTAAGAAGTCGGTTCGTTTCCGGGGTCATCTGACGTTTTGACCCACGTTTGACCCGAGGGCGAGGGATTCGCTTTCATTAATTTATTGCCGGCCGATCCCTCGTATCTTTCTCTCATAAACATTTTCGTTCCTGCTGGTCGCAATCTCGTCGCTTAACTTTAGTCCCCGGGAAGAGTTTTTAAGAATTCTTTTAGTTGAGCTAGCCTGTAATTTTCCTCATCCGTGTCGGAAGAAAATTTAAATCATCCTCTTCTACCGATTATTTTTTCAGAAAATCCCTTTTAATAACCAGGTAACCGCGCGTGAAATCGCTTTCAAAAAGCTATAATTTCAAATGAATAATTGCAATTATCATCACTGCGTAGGATTCATGCAATGCAATTATCTTGCGTTTTGTTTGCGAAAAATACCCCATAAAATCCTGCATACGACAAATTCTCTCGCCTCAAACCCAAAGCTAATCGGGTACATGAAAGCAGTGCAAAAAATCAGCAATGTTCACACTGCAATTTCTCCCGAATAGACTCATAAATGGTATGACATCGTCAGATTTATTGAAGTTATTCACATTTTATTCCACATGCTGTCATTTTTTTTCATTTGTGCGTATAGTATGAACATATTTGGATCAAATAAAACGCAAGAAAAAGTTGATACACGCATGCTTACGAGGGTTGGACGGGTTCGCAGAAAGGTAGTCCCAGATACGCGCGGCCTCAAAGAATTTTTAAGCACTGATTGCGAAAACCTGTGACCTTGTTCAGAAGGATATTTCAACGACGCGAGGCAATTTTTCAGAATTTTTTTTGACAAATTGGCGAAGATAAAAATGATATTCCTCTATTGGTACTTTGGCAGATTGTTCATACAATTTGTTCATACATATTGGGTTTCTCATCTCAATTCCGCACACGCTTCGTGAGAAACGCGAACATTTTGAATGAAATCCCGATGACATTTAATTGATAAAAAATGTTTTTAAATTAATATGCTCAAACTGCAAGTTTGGAATTGATTTTCCTCCGAGATATATAACACTAGGATTTCGTAATTCCCCATAATTTTCAGAGTTAAACCTTTTGAAGCAAATCTGTACCTTCGAAACGGCAGGAAAAATAAGCCTAAAAGTCTATTATAAACATGCAAAAAAATAAAAACCAGAAACGGAATAAAGAAGGCGTCTCAATATCGTGGCAATTTAGTGAAAATAAATTCTCTTTGATGCATTAAAAAAACGAATTCTCAAACCACCATGAATCTTTCGAATCCAGAATTTTTTTCATTGCACTTTCTGTCGGGAATAAATATGATGTTCAACTGAATGAATAAAAAGTATGAGGCAACTTTTGCAGTGAAGGGCAAATGTTTCAGCGGGTAAAATTCCACGTTTTAGAAAAGCACAAGAAGCTGCAAAGGTAGTGAATATTCCAAGTTTACTGCTGCGCCGCTGTAAACTTCCCTCGACACCAATAAATTATTCCTCGTTTATAAGTGTTCACAGAATATTACCCAACTTCCGAAAGGTCACATTGATTCACTGCTGTACTTATCTACGATAGGAATTTCGGAGAGAGTGGGAAAATAAATAAATACATAAATAAATAAACGTGGAAATCGACCAGCAGGCGGAGAATAAATGATAGCAACTCAGCAAAAGATGAGCGGGAAGATTGCCCCAACAAAAAAATGACGCAATATCTTCCCGATTATTACAGACCACTAGCCGCTGAACATGTTTTACGGACTCGTCGTTATCATTAAAGAAGGCATTCATTTGCTAAAGCATCTCTCACTGGAGTTGCAATAAGCAAGCACTTGAAGAATGTTTTTCAGCTGCGAAAGAAAAAAAATTGCTCCAGTACCACGTCCTGTCGCAAGGTCATGAGCTATGGGGGATGAACCTCTGAAAAGTGTGAAAATTATAGAGCTTTCGAATTTGATGAACAGCTTTTCCAGCGAAAAAAAATCAAAATTATGTCATCAAAATACTGGGCGAATCCCAAATAGTCGTCGATTCCCTTTATCTTCAACTGACACTAGAATTGCAACTGACACTTGAATTTCGTAATTCCCCATAATTTCAGAGTTAAACCTTCTGAGGCACATCTGTACCTTCGAAATGGCAGGAAGAATAAGCCTAAAAGTCTATTATTGTATAAACATGCAGATAAAATAAAAACAAGAAAAAATATATTAGCCTTGAAAAATAACTTTTTTATAGCTGCTCATCCGGTGTTTATTCTACCATTTGAAACTCAAATAAAATCCTTTAATGGTCTAAATTTTGCAATTCCCAATAATCTCCACCGAGCACTTTATAATCAAAACAATCTATCTCTATTGCCGCAAAAGCTTTCGCATAGTTGAAATCATAGATGTTGAGGCTGTATTTATCACCGAGTATCTTTTGATTCAATTTAAAAATAAAAAAATCACACCACTGCGTTTTATCGGCAGTTTAATATTCAACATTGAATTCCACGCACAGATTTGCATTTCCATTTAATGTTTAGTATGTTTTTCTTTGACAGATTCCAATGCTGAAAAAAATATTAATTGCAGAAAAGTTTTGATTCCTCGAGCAGCTTTTTTAGTGAACATGCAATGCAAACAAAAGAAGACTTTGAAGAAAACGCCAAAATATTGGAATCAGAACTTGAAAAACCACGCATTTTTAACTTAATAGATATAAATACCTCCCGTCAAATGCAGAATTGAAATATTTTCATGATTTATGCAAATATTAAAGATCCGGTTTGCGGCATTTTCATTCTAGAATCATGAGATTAAATTGACTTCCTGCGTCAAGAAGACAAGGACGGATTTTTGACATTGACTTAACATTAATAAAATGTACCATTGACGGTTTCGAGTTTTGAAACTTGGCTCTCATGATTTGTATCATAATCAAGAGAAGTTTTGAAACTCCTTGATCAATCTGCGAGAGTGTCTTGAGTTATCATTGTCTTCAAATACACGAGAGATTCACATAACGCAATAAGTTTTACGGGTAAATCGGAATCCTTCAACTTCTTTTAAAATTCTAATACGAAGTCTTCAAATTAATAAAATCGCATAGTTAGTCACTTTCAGCGGTTTCTACGTAAGTCAATCAGACTAACTTATAAACGGAATCAATTCGAAGAAAATAAGCTGTTGAGGTTTTCGTATGCTCCAACAAGAATAGTATCACATGTGATTTTTATGGCGTAATGAAGAAATTCGTCGAAAAAAAAACCGGAAAGCTAGCGGAGTCAATTGCTTGAACCGCAGTAAAGTTTCAACAACCGCATCGTATTGCATAGCATATTTCAAATTTTTTTCCCCATCCCCATCTTAATTTATCTGCAGAAAGTTGAAAGTGAACTCACCTCGTAAAATGCCATGTAGCCTTTCTCTCGGGTATATTTCCCAATTTCCCCGGGTCCTTCAGCAGGTGAACCCATCTCGTGGGATTCAGGGTTGAATAAAGTATAGCTTCGTCCGTAAGATGGAATTCCAAGGACCAATTTGTCTCTGTCAGCTCCTTCTTCTATGTAATATCGAATCGTAAAATCCTTGAAAAAAAAGGCAGAAAAAGATCTCATTTAAAAACCCATCCAAAAATAATTTTAACTATTTCTTGCGACTTTAATACATTAATTCAACATTCTTTAATCAACCATCCAGTAATTTTGAATCTGAACGAGTCACGTGGATATTTTAACTTAATTATGTGTATAGGCCGCAGAAAAATTCTAAATTTCGAAGGAAACTTGCGTAATATAATTAATCAAATGCAGTAAAGCATCTTACAACCTAAAAAATCCAAATTTACCATCATCATCGATATTTTTCCTCAAAGCATCGGGACTACGACTTTTAATGTCGCAATACACTCATGTTGTCATCAGCACACAACTTGAATCTTTCCTTTAAATTTTGTCAACACATGACAACCATCCTCGACCCCAAAAAATTTACAACTACTGTCCTTGAATTTTAGATAAGTAAGTACTTTCGAAGATGACTATTCTGAAGCAAAGAACAACCGTTTCAAAACTTGGTTTGTCAAGACTCCGCGAAAAGGGATTTGAATAATATGTTCAGAACAAAGAAACGGCAACGAAAGGAATCTCGAAAAAACCGGTTCTTAGTACAGTATAAAGCCACACTGTATCGATGGCTGACTAAATGGAACGTCGACCCAGTCCAGTTGACTCCAGTTCGTTAAGGTACCTTCTTTACTGTAGTAAAGATAAGCTTGATTCTTCACGCATTCTTTGCCGCCCCAGTCGCTGTTCCGCTTTCTGCGGCTGTGACAGACAAAAAATGTTGAAAAAAATATTTAAAAATCACAGATAAAAATCTTATCGCGTGAAATCAAGCTCAAATTCCCGCAAATTTGCTATACGTATTTATCAAAACCAGGTTCCATCAAAATTTCCATAACTTCGAAGGGAAACACAATTTCTGTTCATATAATCAAAGACACGTCATTAGGTTTAAAATATGTCAAAAGCTATCTCAATCAAGGGATGGACCCAAAATTATGCAAATTCTCAAATGAAAATCCCTACTCCAAAACAAAGCTTTACAATAGAAAACGAAAAAAATCACAAGCTTGGGAATATAAGTGATGAGAACAAGCAGACGAATGCTTTCTCAAATTCGCACTTCGAATTTCAATTTTTTCAGAATTAAGCTCAGATAAAGCATCACAATTTTCATTAGCGCTGGAAAGGTGTTGAGTACTAATTATTTGAATCAGTGAACATTTGAGAATCAATCCATGAACATGAATTTCCATGTCAATTCGAAGCGTCAAGAAGGTCCTTGCAGCTGGGTCAGGTCAACTGAGGTCAAGCAATTCCATGGAAGAAATGACATCATTTCTATTCGAACTAAGAAGTGCGTAAGAAACGGCGGGGTCAGCGACAAGGCGAAAGACGCCGACACTGGGACAAAAAATGTTGAAAAAAATATTTAAAAATCACACTAAAAAATTTTATCGCGTGAAATCAAGCTCGGATTCCCGCAAATTTGCTATACGTATTTATCATAGCCAGGTTCCATCAAAATTTCCAACACTTCGAAGGGAAACACAATTTCTGTTCATATAATCAAAGACACGTCATTAGCTTTAAAATATGTCAAAAGCTATCTCAATCAAGGGATGGACCCAAAATTATGCAAATTCTCAAATGAAAATCCCTACTCCAAAACAATGCCTTACAATAGAAAACGAAAAAAATCACAAGCTTGGGAATATAAGTGATGAGAACAAGCAGACCAATGCTTTCTCAAATTCGCACTTCGAATTTCAATTTTTTCAAAATTAAGTTCAGATAAAGCATCACAATTTTCATTAGCGCTGGAAAGGTGTTGAGTACTAATTATTTGAATCAGTGAACATTTGAGAATCAATCCATGAACATGAATTTCCATGTCAATTCGAAGCGTCAAGAAGGATGCATTCCTTAGTCAGTTAGTCTATGGTGAATGAAAATTGAAACGCAAAAAAAATGTTGTACGCCTCAACAGTTGAATACCATTATATTAATTATTTCAAGGATTTTCATCTTCGAGCACAATAAAGATAAATTATGCTTCCGTCCTCGCGTGAAAAGGTTGCGTGACGAAGTACAGTACTTCATTTTTTGCCTTTCAAAGTATTTTACAGCGTGGTCTGTAAGAAAAAAAAAACACGAAAGCAAACGACGGAAAATCATAAAATAAACAGGTTCTCACAATGTTGAGCTCGGCTTTCGAGTCGAAGTCCGATAAACCACGTCGAATGTACAACGGGGCGTGATGATTCGCCTGCGGCTCAAACGCGCTGTGGTAATCATAAGTTAGCAGGTTGAAAAAGTCCAAGTACCTGGAAAATCAAAAGAGACTCCATCAGCAAAAAGTGATTTCAAAGCCTTGAACGAAAATATAAGTTGCTAGCTTTTTCTTACAAGGGACGAAATTAAAGTTCAGTGGAATTACCTTGGTATGATCCAACCATGCAGTATCTGATTTCTAAATACTGTACTGTAACTCGATTCATAAAACGAAGTATATACATTCAAAATTACATCCTTATTGAAAGTAAAAATAAATCCGAAGAAAAAATAGCTCAACTTTCGGATTTATATAAGACACATTTAGTGCGTTATAAGATAACTAAAGCACGTCTCTTTTTGTGGTTCCGAGACATCCGCAAAAATTTCAATTTTCGTACATAAGACGAATTTAATGTCTTCAGATAGTTTAGAATCAGCTAAAGACATTACTAGCCTTTTACAGCATTCGTGTTTCAGTTGCTGACAGTAAAATCATGAAAACTTGACTTTTGTGCCTCCAATAGAAAGCAATAAGAAATATTTTTTCGATTGGATTTTAAACTAATATTATCCATCATATTTTTCTCCTCAGGTGAAATGATCAATTTTTTCAGCTAACCCAAGAGTTTATGAACACAAAATGCCCCCGATTTTCGAAGAGGCTCTTATAATCAAATTAGGTTAACATGTCAGACATAAAACCTGTTTCTGTGATCATGAAAAGTCACGTACTCTAGGTGGATCTTAGGGTATAACTTGATGAAATATTGCCTGTTTTTTTTTTCGGGGAGGTTCAGATATTTGAATTCACGATTTTTCCATTAGAACATTTTAATCGGCACCATACTTGTTGAGTTTGGGGATGTCGTAGCCACGATCAATGTAATCTCGTCCAGCTGGCACAGCCATGGTCAGCAATAATCGGTCCTTTTTGCTTTTCGCTGCTTCACGGTCGAACGCAGTACGGAATTCCTATTAGTGTACAGAGAAGAAAAACGGCACAGTTTTTGAAATTGCAAGCGGAACGAAAGACAAGTAATCATAACAATCAAGGCCCAATTTCAGCATTGAAAAGACACCTTCACTGACGGTGCGGAAGATTTCCAGGTCAACATTTTCTTCGGGTCCCAATAAGAACGAAAAAAAAATCATAGCTCTTGAATAAAGTTTGTCTTCGCGTACAAGCATTTTTAATTCTGAGATTTATACTGGAAGAGACTTCTGAAAATCCGCAACAGTACCGTTTTGGCATGACTACGGAGAAATTAATTCAGTTATACCCGTACTTTCAAAATCGGAATGAAAATGACCTTAGGTGATTTTCAGTAAACTTGAAATAAAAACGAGACTTCGATGAACTTTTGCGATCGGGAAAGAAAATCGAGCTGCGAAATAATTTTTTCCGAAAAGTTGAGCAAGCCATTGACTGATTTCAGAATTTTTTTCATTCATGAAATACGCAGGAAAAACTTTTTTTTAAATCGATCATAGTGCATTTATATATTTTTCGGACTTCAAGGGACCCATTTTCCTCTTACCCAGACTCGGGACATGATTAATTTTAGCGCGCTTCTGTGTTGGAATTAAATATTTATAAATGTTGCCTTCAATTTTCAATTATCACTGGCTCATGTGTGGAAAAATTCTGGAAAAATTCTTTGGAAGGACAGGTCTGTAATTTTTTCTATTCGTATCTCACCTGAACTAAAAGTGCGTAGTTCTCTTTGTCTTCGGGTTGTCCGCCATCTCGAAACGCTGGGTATTCCCAGTCTAAATCTAATCCATCAAAGTTGTACGTTCGCAGAAACCTGATTGCGGAACGTATGAATGTTTTCCGCCCTTCTTTGGACGCCACTAGGGGCGACCAACGACCAGAACCCTCATTCCAACCGCCGACCGCCAACAGGGTCTTCAAGTCCTTGTTGTACGTCTTCAGCCCAACAAACTTTGCGTAACCACCTGCAATATAAAAAGTTGAAAAAGATTTAGGAATAATAAATGTCACGATTATTCATTTCCTTCTTCTGCATTCGCAAAATCGCCAGTCGGATATTCGACATCATTGCCATATGAAAATGCCTGCTATTACATTTCCACTTTCATGCCAGAGGCGCTGGTTTTACGTAAAGCTGGACAGGTGTCACCTGTAAGCTGTATCCCTCTCACTGACAAGATCTACTGAATTTCAACCCAAATGAAGCGTACCAGACTAAATTTAATGCCGAATAATTCAAGGCCGACCACCTAGCAAAATATGTAACATAATTCTGCCGACACAAAATGCCAAAACATTAAGGCGACACCTACATAATAGTCAAAAATAATAATTGACTCCGAGCGAGACGCATGGGGTAGAACTTAAATCAACCATTTTCAAAAATGTTCTAAAACCTTTCGTATGGAAAATTACTTTGAGCCTCTCTTTTCATTTCTAGATCTACAATTAATATAGCACCGCTAAAGCAGAGATAAATAGAAATAGATAAAGATAAATCTCTAAAGCAGCCCATTCGAAGTTGAATCAAAATGAAAGAGCGATTCAAGACATATATACGAAATGTCTCAGACTAAGATAAACTGAAGTGCAATAGAACTTTCGCTCATTTAAAGCAGTTTCATGATCGGAACTATTCCAGAACAAAGCTTGCGAAAATACGCGTGCAAATTTTGTGGACGACAGCTCAAATTCAAAAAAGCAAATAAAAAACTATAGAATTTTCAATGAATTTCGATGATCCCCATTTAAATTTTCGAGCGTCGAAATATTTTAAAAATTGTGAGAAACTCCAAGGAGGCGGTATGACGAAAAATAAATTTAAAAAAGATTCCTTGGTATTTCGGTTAAAGTTGCAATTGTAAAATTTCAGTCCAAAAACAAACCTTTTTCAATGTCGTGGTCAAACTTTCTGGAAGACAGCTAATTAAATTTTAAAAACCATCGAATTTTCAAAGAATTTCGATAATCCTCGTTTACAGCTTCGAGCGTCGTATAATACTTCACAAATTTTGAGAAACTCCAGGGCCGGAGCGGGTATGACGAAAAATAAATTTTAAAAGATTCCGCGTTAATTTGATTATTTAAAGTTGCCATTGTAAAATTTCAGTTCAAAGACAAACCTTTTTCAATGTCCTGGTAGTTGTCGAAGGGCTTGAGCTCGAAGTCCTTGGTGAGTCCACCAAAGGCGTAGATGAGATGAGTACACAAGTAAGGATTGATGTTCTGCGGGTTGTACTTGGCTATTCCCTGGCGATAAACTGACCAGTTCGTGTAGTAACAAACCACACGGGCCCCTTGATGATCATTAGTTGATTCACCCATCATCAACTGTGGTTCTGAAAAATAATAATACGAATATGAATAATAACAGCGAAATTCAGCGCCGGAAATTCATGACTATACGTCTCGCGCATATACAGAGTAGCCACCAAATAATTCCCACTCCTTTTCAAATAAGAAAGTATTTCAGAAACTCTGAAACCTGAAAAGAGTAATTCAAGCTTAAATGGAAGCTAAAGTTGTTGTATCCTTCCGAAAAATGCCATCATTTATTTTTGGCTTCCATATTTCGGTTGAGATGGTCATTCGTAAGACAAAAAAGCTCAGACTTTTGAAGACATAGGACTTTACGTTGCCCTGACGATGACGTTTCCGTTTACCCAAAAAAAATTGCGCAAAAGGGAACCAAAAGAAGCCCGGAACATTTTTTATTGCTTACAGAATTTCTTTTATTGCTCTTTCCTTCTTTCGTTGCTAGACTCTAGTGCGGGTAGTAAAGTAGAAGACAAGTTGGCATAGCGCAATGTTTAAAGGAAAGGCAGCCTGCTCAAAACATAAAAAGGTTACTATTTGGGAGAAATTCCAGACTTTTCGTGTGAAAGTTTCGCTAAACTTAAATGAAGAATAAAATATTAGAAATAAACCTGAAAACCGTCTGAACAAAAGCGCCTTGAATTATTTCTGCAACTCGTGAAGCAAAAGACAAACGAAGTACAGGTTTTCTTTTACACTCGTAAACCGAAAAAAAGCACCAAGTAAAGTTGTCTCAGATGGCAGGACTGAAAAAATGCCTTTGAATTTCCCGCGAACAGATAAAAAACGACCAATTAACTTTTACGATCAGGCAATTATTTCCCAACAGGAGGCGTGATTGAGTTCGCATCGGTTCCTCAAAATATTGATCGAAGCCAGCTGTTGTCTTCGTAGTAAAAATTCCTTGAAAAAAAAACAACGCAAATCTTCAAGAGCATCCGCTTTGTTGATTATAACACTAGATTTATGGACCCAGAAGAAGTTTATTTATTTATTTATTTTCTTCTAACGAAATACGCAGGTCTCGGAATCTTTTGCAACACGAGATTCTCACTTGAATGGTCGCAATCAAGACTCAATGGGCTTTTGTTTGCCCTGTTCATAATCTCGAACATCAATCAAAGCACACCTGGCAACAAAAGCTTTAGGTGGTCCCCGAGGCTTTCCAAAAAAAAAGGACTTCTTTTTTACTGGTAGTACCTTACTTCAGATCCATGTCAAAGTTCCTTTCTTAAGAAGTTCATAAAGACCTTACGCTTTTAGCCCCGTCTTTATTTTAAGTCGCAGAGTCAGCATTGGGGTGCCTTGTAAAGACCCGGAGTCATAAAAAACTTGATGCTCTCCCTCTTTTCGTTCGGACACGATTTCCGCGCTTTCGGGTGCGATTTGGCTTTTCCTTCACGCGCATTCGACATTCCCACGTGAAAGTGCACCAAAATTCAGGAGGAAATTCATCAAAACGCCTTTTTTTTCGGCTTTGTTCGCAGAAGAACCTTGAACCGTGGGTACAAATTGCGCCGCGGTGACGCAACATGTCCGAGCAGCGGTGAGTGCGATTACAGGGAAAACAAGCGCATTATAATTGCCTGAAACCCGAGTCTGTGTATACGCCTGTACATGAGCAGTTTGAGCACATGATATGAAATATATGAGCGGACTTCTTGGCAAGCGTTTTTCAAGCATATAAGTCATTAAGTTCAGCGGGAAAGGCATTATTAGAAAACAAAGGCTGCCATCGCAATTGACATTTCACAATTTGCATGACATTCCGTGGCAAATTGAAACAAAATTTTGGATTTTTCAGATTTTAGGATTTTTTGTGCCAAATCAGCTCATCTTATCACACTAGGATTTCCAAAAAAGAGAGCATCAAGATAACTTCGATAACGTGGAGTTCCAATTCGTCCAAGAAAGACTGGTTTTTGTTTCGTAAACTGATGTTGGACGAAAAGCAAGTTTTTATTTCAACCATAAGAAATTATTTTCTGGCCATTCCACTTCACAATCAGCAGTAGTCGCATGCTTTTGATCGTATTTGGCGAACTGTGAAGTGATCCATCCAAGCAATTTCCCTATAAGAATCACCATAGTGAAATACGAGCGAGGAAGAAAATTATTTTTCTGGTCGAAAATTGGGATTCATATTTGAAAGCTATTCAAAACACGATTTCGGAACAGGAACAATTATTCCTGTACAGTAGTTCATTTTCATGAAGACACAGTACTGTACTTTGGAATTTCATAAAAAACCACTGCTCGCTATACAGTATATTTTATTTTTAATGAAAATCGTAAATTTGTGACTCACAAAATTGGATTTTATTATTTTATTTCGACACGAAAAGAAAGACTTCACGAATTACGCCACATTTTCCAATTTATTCAATTTTGCCGATTTTCTTCCCAGGCTTCTTGAGTCATAAGCTAAAACTTCTCGACTTCCTCTTGACGAGAAGTTATAAAAACTTGTCGCCTTGATTTTGAAACCAGCTCTTGAAGAAAATGTGCCAAAAAATGCATATTGAGAGCAAAGCTAATTATTTTGGTGGAGTGTTCATCTGGAAATGACATAAAAATTTATGATCAAATTTCCTGCAAGGTTAAAAATTAAATTGAAGTCCGATATCAGTACATTACAATGTGTATGCGCAAAAAAAATCCTGAAATTTTGCTGTTCCCATTAAAATGAATGAACAAGTCCAACCTCTAATCTGCTGAATTTTAATTCGAATTATAATTTAGCTACGGTAAAAAAATAATTTGCGATCAGCAATCAAGGCTTTCTTGGTACAGTATAGTGCTTCAAGTTGTAGTGACTTTAAATTAAATTGTTTCTAGGGATTATTTCAAGGATAGGTCATCATAAGAATAGAAAATGTGTCCTAGGGGTCATTTTATTCAATTTCTTTGTCACATGCTCACTTTCAAAAATGTTGGAACTCTATGTTGAGTTCAGTGCTCTCAATTACGTTAGAGAAACGCAATTTCACAGGTACGTGAAGTAAGTTTGGATTTCAGTCCCTTTGATCAAAGATATATTTAATAAATCTTGCGCAGGATTTACTTCACACCTACATCTGGAATCTTTTCCATCACGTTCCCAGTCGAATATAAATTCCACATATACTGTATTCGGTCGCTCGTTTTCCTTCAACTTTCAGCTTTCATTTTTAAATGTTTTGAAAGGGGGGCTTGGTCAGGTGTGAAAATTTTGTTTCGAAGTCATTAAAACGGATATGCTTGAGCAAGTGAGCTCGTAAGATGAGACCCAATGAACCCTTAACACGGGGGAACGCATCGCGTGACCGCAATGATCCGCATCCGGCAATTGCGTGATGATCACGCACGTGGCATCCTACAAACTTTAATTAACGTCATTCGTCCCTGAAAAATCGCGTCCATTCCTGCAGTCATTGTATATTTTTTTCTTATCAGAACAGCGAAGAAAAAAACTTCATTTCAGAAACTGAGAAATGCGCTGGAAAAGTAAAAAAAAAAAAAAGAAGCGCGTGCTAAAAAGCAGGAGAGTCAATCGAAGAAATCAGAAGAAACAAGTAAGCTATTGTGAAAAGGCAGTTTTCCTCTTACAGTGTTCTTCAAGAAGTAGCTCGATTTTTGGTCATGTGATTTTCACCAGTCGTGTTTGTATTTTGCTAAAAAAAAATTCAGGGTTATATTTGATTGAGGGCTCCATGATGAAATCCCATAGGAGAAAAAATCCCGCGGCCCGAAAATCCCGTAGGCCCGAAAATCTCAAAGGGTCCAAAAATACCGTAGGTACGAAAATCCCGACGAGTGCTATAAAATTGTTACATTGTCTCTGGGTTTCCCTTGCACCTTGAAACCCACAAGCGGGAGGGTTTTAATTCCTTCCAAGGCTTTGGGAAGTTTAAGGATTACCTTTCTCAAGATAACCTCACCTTCACTTCCTCATCTTTTTCAAAAGAAAGGCAAGAAGCCTGGGAAAGATGTTGCCTTCATTTGGAGCCTTCAACCCTGCATTGTTTTGGATATGAACTGTGTACTTTTCCAATGATTTTCACAGCTCAACTTTGCTTTCTGAAGTAACAAAATTGCATCATTTTGGGAAGATATCTTGTAGAGTTGAGAACTTATGGACTTTTTATAAAGGATTTTTATATTCTCTACATAATGTACTGTACATTGAATATTAAGATTGAAAATTAATTATCACTACAGTATATAAATTCATTTAGACTTCTTTGATAATTTAAAATTGCTTACATACTATTGCCTTCTGCAGTTTTCAAATGAGGTTTTTCTGATACAAAAATTCATTTTTTGGATTTTCGCACCTAGGGGATTTTTGGACCCTGAAAAATTGTTGGGCTTATGGGATTTTTGGCCGCACGGGATTTTTGGGCCGCGGGATTTTTTTGGGCCAAAGAACCTTCCAACGTTGTAGCTTAAAATGTTTTGATTCTTGGGAACAAAAATCATCACTTTCATTATATGCAAGCACCAAACACTGAAATCTTTGGTAAAAAAAAAACCAAAGCCTGGCAATAAACGACAAAAAAATCAGACACAAAACCAGGTTCTATGCTGCCTCCAGGTTGGCATCCAAGGGTGAGCAAACCATGCATTAAAATAACCTCATTTCCTCTTCTCCTTCCTGTTCTAAGATAGAAGAAATACAAGGCAAACCCAAGCTTTAACATCCTGAAAGCAATTTGAGAATTTTATAGCATCATCTAAGCTCAAACATTGTTTTCTGTGCACAAAGCCAGTAAAACTAAAATTACGTCACAACAGCAGGCAACCCACTATTATCTGATCTTGCTTTGCTGAAATCTCCAAGAGAATTGCTTCAATAAGTTCTGCAAAATTTATGAATACGGTATGAAAACAGTACATGCTGTGAGGAAAAATGTAGCTCACAAAGATGATTTTCAAAAGAGCTAAATACTTAATTTGCAGAAAAGCTTGAATCGAAGAATACAGAAAATTAATGAAATGCAAACTCAGCTGGGCTTCAGCCAGGACTTGAGAAGTCCTAGTACAGGTGGTACCTTGCAATTCAAACCCTGGCAATTCAATGGTCAAATTTGCTGGGAGGCCAACTCTCAATTCAACCTCTGCCATCCAATTCAACCTCAGCAAAAAATTGCAACCACAAGTGTCAATTTGGGCAAGAGAATAAAATCAGGAAAGCTTTGAAGGATTAAGTTAAAAAGGATAATTTCAAGGAAGAAGAGTTTTTATTCAGAAATTTCTTTGCTGAGCCTGGGACCCAAACTTGGGTTTGGTTCACAGACTCACACAAATTATTTTTCTTTGTTTCTCATCTCAGAAGGAGGATGAGTTAAACCAATTCAACTAATGCCATTCCAGCGCCACTCTACACTTTTTTCAAACACACCCAATGTTGGGCATTTAACAGAACCCAACAACAGAACAGACAATAAAGGCACAGTGGAAAAAATGAAACACACCCAATCGTCCAGTTTGCAGCCAAGAACATATTTGAAATAAAACACCTCAAACATATGCTGCTTTTTTTTCAGAACAAATTATTGCGTACTGTACTTTGCTGGCAAAGAAATGAAACAATTCAAAAGCATCACCGTAAATGCTATACACAAGCACATATAATAATGAATTTGCGCACAAATCCCAAGCAGAGCACAGATATGAAATATGTGAAGATAAAAAAGGCATGAAGAGCGAGAGAGAGAGTAATGATACTTCACTATGAAAGTTGGGCAAAAAATTTATTTTGGATCGAAATAAAAGAAAATTATAGAAGAAAATAACATAAAACCTCTAATTATTGAGGTTTTCTCGGTGTATTCTCTTCACAACGAAGAGTGCAAGTGTAATTCAAAACGTTTTCTGTTTTTTCCATTCGCACTTTATTGACCACGTCCTGTTCTGATCGAAATCAGTTTCATGACGCACTAACTGTTCCAGCTTCGTTTTCTCAGTAAATAAGAAAAACATTTTCTTGGGCTCTTCGGTGCATGTACAGTATAGATGTATAGTACTTTCATGGACTGCGACTGAGGTGTTTCATAATCCCAGACCAGCTCCTGGCTTCACGAGACGTCTCATCCGACAGGTGCGATGAGGAAATATCGCTTCGTACAAATTCAATGCTTTCTGCTGGGTCTTTTTCCTCTTCTTCAGAAATTGCTTCAACTTCCCTGGGGCGATAATTATGACGAATCCGGGGGTGACGAACAAGCTTTGCTGAGTGAAGCCCCCCAGGGAAACTTCTTTCATGCACAGCAGATCGTCGAAGGCATGAAAAGGAAAAAAAAATTCCTTCTTGTGCCACGTACGCATTCCAAAGGAACCGCACTCAACTACAGTACGTCTATTTTAGAACTTCGTCTGGTCTGTATTCGAGAGAAGTGTACTCAATGTTTGATTACTTCTACTTGTTTGATCCGTAGGGACGCCTTTAAAAATGGAAAAGGATTTCCAAGAGAACATTTCCATCTGCTTGTTGGATCGAGTACTTTAGAATTTTTATAGATACTTCGTTGAATTTTTTTTTGGAGTTGGCCGAGAACTTTCGAAATCACCTTCCGTCACATTCTGTTGTAGAAAATTATGGCTTCATTCAGCGTCGCTTTTTCATTTTTTTCAAGTAAAGGATGACTCAAATATTTGAAACCATTTTTACATTTTATTGATTTTTCGGCGCTGCTTTTTGAAATAAGAGTAAATTGTAAAAAACGATGCTAGTATGCATCATCTAAGTACAATCCAACGTACACTATTTTGAATATTTTTGGATGATTGAAAATTGTAATCATACTTTATTCGAAAAAACCTACCTACTGTATAGTTTTCAAATTGTTTCATTAAATTGTTTCCAATTTTAAATACGCAGCTTTGTAGCAAATATAGTACACTAACTTTCGAATATCATCGGACTGATATTTAAAACAAGGTTGAGGAAAAAATAATAAATTCAGAAATAAAAATAGATTGTCCATGGCATCTTTGGATTCGCGGTCAACATACTTTAGAACATTCTACACTTATAAAGCTCATTTTCCTCCGGATTCAGTCCAATGTTTTCTCTTCCTCAATTGAAAAAAAAAGCTTTGAAAAGTTGTTAAAGTAGATCATATTTTGATTTGAATACATTCATATTGGGATTGCATGCAGAGAATTTTGAGTGATGAAATTGACCACGTTCTGGTGAATTGGACGGGGGTGTTACCACATCGACATGAATCATTTATTTCTTGAAAATTTAAAATCCGATTTTTCAATCTGACTTCTTCGGGCTTTCCTTTCGGATTGCTATAAAATTCAGCCATAAATTTCAAAAGAAGAAATAAACGTTTTCAGGCGCAATATTCATCAACGAGCCAAAACAAAAGTGCTCGAGTAAAACGAGTTTTTTGTAGGTTACATTTCAATGCACAGATTGTTTAAAAATTAAAATAGCTTTACTTTACTTTTCGGAAAAAAATTGCCGCATATACACAAATCCTCAAAAAGAGTGATAAAAGGCGATTGGAAGATAAACGTTGCTTGTTTCCTGATAACGATAAAACTGACAGCATTCTTATAATATTGAGTTATATGTTGAAAAGAAGACGCTGAATAAAATTACCATTTCTTCCAACCGTGTTCAATGCAGGAAGAAAATTGATAGCAGCGAAGAAATTTAATTACTGGATGCCCAGAAATATGGCAATATCGTCCCAGAAATGCCCACAGATTTCAGTGTTGAATAATCTTCTTCTAAATCCCAAGTAATAACACTAATTCTTTCAGTAAACGACTAGACAATAAATTACGTGCCTCGACTCGATCGGAGCATATACTCATCACTGGACCTGAGTCTTTAATGGTCAAGAATGCTTCGCTCGAGCTCGTATTTTTCTTACTGTTGGACTAATACTGACGGATGTACGCATTCTTTTTTTCTTCTTCTATTTTTGCTGTCTTCGGCTCCATTCATAAATCTACAGACACCCACACAGCTTGATAATGATCTGCTGAGCCGAGATTTCGTCAACACGGCCTCGGGGCGTGCCTCGTGTACCGAAGCAGCCCTCTTCAACACACATTCCACACGAGAAAATGAACGAGGAGATTTAATAATC